AGGCAAGCTCATTTCTGGGGTGTCTAGAAAGAAAGCTAGCTTCTCTGAGTTGTTTTCAAGGAAAAATGGTTGACTTCTCTTTATGCTGCCAGATATGTGTACATAAACATTATTTTCTCCATTTTGTCACAGTTTTTTCATTTCTGGTGTTTATCAGTTGCTTTCTAATATTTTTGTGGGTAAGAGGTGCTTTTCAATTTGCACATATGAAGAAACAGAATGTAAGAGCCTTTTTCCTCCACATTTCTAATATTCAGCCACTCTTTTGCCAAATGCGTTGACCTTTATCCTCCAGACCGTGTCATTTGTGTCACAATCATTTTCTCTCAAAAGTCTAAGGACACGAATCCATTGTCTTCTAGATTTTGATTCTGTGGAGAAGTCTGAAGCCAGGCTTGAAACAGGGATTTTTAGTTCTTTTGGGGTTACTCAATTTGTTTTTGTCTCTTTTATTTTTTGTTTGTTTGTTTCTTATGAGTCCCTTCTTTATGCCTGAAATATAAAAGTGTCACTGTGCTAAGTCTAGGTATTGGGCTCTTTTAACTAAAAGAACCTTTTCAATTTGAAGGCCTAATTCTTTCTTAAACTCCAGAAAGTTTCTATTTGTTCACTGCTTCTTTTCCATTTGTTCCACACGCTCTGATATGTGCAAGGAGTCTCCTTGATCTGTCGCCCATGTCCCTTCTTTTCCTCTCGTCACTTTCACTGCTTCATCTTTGTCATATCTTTGACTTCCATTTTTAGGTGCAAGGAGAATTTCTCATGCCTATCATCTACTTAACTGATCCGATATTCTGTGACCTTGAATCTGTTACTCGCTGCTTCCATTTAGGATTTAAAATTCCACCATTGAGCTTTTAATCGCCACACATCACTTGTCTTTCTCTCTGACTGCCAGCTCGCTGATCACAGGTACAATATTTTCCTGAATGTTTTACAGAATACACAGCAGAAAACGTGTAACACTTTCTCCTGTTCCTTACAGAGCTCCATTTCATTGGAAGACATTTGCTCTGGTTTCTTGTGAAGCCGGTTGCTGCATGGGCTAGCGATTTTCTTCATAATATTTCTTTATAAAGCTATTAATTTTTTCTATCTTTGTTAAATTTTATGAACAGTAGCCCCCGATTGTTTATGATCAGGAGTCAACATGGATTCTGACACATCTCGTTTGAATCTCTTCCAGGTTCTTTGAACTCATGGAAATTGTAAAACATTTACAGAGTTCGTGAGCCAGATCAGGTGTGCAACAGTGTCCAGAGACGAAGGAGGAGGCTGGACCAGCTGCTGTAACAGCAGGGAGCATCACTGCAGTGCTAGGGAGCCTCTTCCATCTTCCTTCTGACACCCAGAGATTAATGCTAGAGTATAAATCCTGAGATGTATGCTCTAAAATATCATGACTTATCCAAAAATATCTTGACTTATGGAAGCTGTTGACCTTAAACAGCTAGCAAGATATTTCTTCAGCAAAATGGGTTTATTCAGGAACAACAAAGAAATGTAATTCTGGACATGGGATCAAACGCTGAACGAGGCTCAAGTCCAGAGAAACAAATGAGAGGCATGCCCTTTTATGGACTTGGGAGGAACAGCTATAAACAAAGAGTTCATTGGAGGAAACGGAAACGTCCAAGTATAGTAGCTTCTCATTGGCTGAGCTCTGGCCGTCTCCCATTGGCTGAGCTGTTACTGGGCAAAGAGGAATCTCTTCTTCCCCCTGCTGGGGTAGAAAGTAGTGTCACTTCCTGTCGGAGATGGAAAATAACGTCTCTTCCTATTGGTGTCAGTTGTGTGCGTTGAGTGACATATGGATGAGAGTTTTCTTCTAGCTCCTGACTCCATTTTAAATGAGGTTTCTGTTAATTTTCACAAAGCGAATTAAAGGATAGTACAATAGTCCACCCATTGTTGATGTAAGAACATCCAAACCTGTAGAGAATTTTTATAGGAGTTTATTTGAGGCAAATTGGTGACATGCCAGGAAGCAAGATCTCAAATGCTCCAGAGAATGACAGTTTCACAGTTTCTTTTATGCATTTGGAACTAAGGAGGAAACATAAGGAAGATGACATAAAGGTAAAGCAAGGAGGGGACTGGATGACAGGATAGTAAACAAGATTATGTGCTCCCTCTGAAGGGTCTGAAAAAGAGGCCTTTCATTTAAAAGGTGTGTCAATCTAGATACACAGAACAATGGACAAGGCTGGCTTAAGGCGAAGATAAAACTTTTATAGGCATGGGGCATGGCTATCCATCATGACCTGTCCAGTTAGGAATTTATGATCAAATCATCCTGTGAGGTGACTATCACTTAGATTTATTACAGAGCCCCTTTTTGTCCATAACATCAACAGACTAAAGAAGAAAAATCACATGATCATGTCAACAGAGGCAGAAAAGGCATTTGACAAGAGCCAACAGGCATTCGTGATTTTAAAAACTCTCAGTAAACTATTTCTATAGAGGGGAACTTTCTCAACTTGATAAAGACTGTCTATAAAAAAAATCCTACAGCTAACATCATGCTTATGGTAAGAAACGAGAAGCTCTCCAACTAAGACTCTTAACAAGACAAGTATGTCCCCTCTCACCACTCCTTTTCAACACTCTACTGGAAGTTTTTGCTAATAATGCAATAAGGCAAGAAAAGGAAACAAAGGTACACAGATTGGGAGAGAAGACATACACCTCTCTTTGTTTGTAGATGATGTAATCATCTCTGTAGAAAATCTGAAAAAATTAGAAAAAAAAAAACCTCCTGGAACTAAGTGATTATAGCAAGTTTACAGGATAGGAGGTTAAGTAATAGTATAGTCTACAATACTACATTATTGTACTATCAAAGGATATTATTGTACATACTGTTTTTAACTTGCTTTTGTCCCTTAATGGCATACCTTAGACATCTTTCCATTTTAGTACATGTAGGTCTTCTTCATTCTTTTTTAGGTATGTATAGCATTCCATTAGATGATATCAAATTCACTTTCCTAGTCCTATAGTGACGGCATTTAGGTTGCTTCAAGATTCATTGGTTGGTTGGTTGGTTGGTTGGTTGGTGGTTGATTGGTTGTTTGCTTGCAGTATGATTTCATGGATCCCTTATTATTTCAGTATTTCCTTGAACCTTTTCAAAACACAAATTAGGGCTTTTACAAACATATCTCTATTATATTCATTTATGTAAGTAAACATTTTAGAATGATACTGTTAACAGTGGTTACCTCTGAGAAGTAGTTCAGAGAGGAAGGTCATGTGGCAGGAATGTACTAATATATTTCACTTTATATCTTTTTCTGTTACCAGAGTGTTCACAACTAATTGTGGTGCTTTCAAAATTGTCATTAAAACCTGTAAATATATAATGCTGCAATAACAGTTACACAAACTGAGTTTGTTCTTTAGGGCTATGTCTCAGGGGATGTATCTAGAAGTTAGATTACTGGGTTAAATGGTATGCTCTAGAAAGTATCGTGCCAACTCTCATGGTCTGGAGTGATTACAGAGGTGCATCAATTCTGCAGGTGGTTTGTACCATCGGGGAAAATAGAGGCAGCTGTAGACAACTGAGTATTGTGTAAAGTGCAGGTTTCACCCTTGCAGCTAGTGTGGAGGGTTTGGTGTCCAAAATCCATTAGGAAAGATTTGGTTGGGAATGCTGGAACAGGTCCTGCATGATGCAACTGCATTTTGCCAAGCTGTAGTTCTGGATCCAAACCTCAGGGTTGGCACCAGTAGGTCTCTCTTCTTATGAAAGCTCAGAGAGGTAGTTGGTGCATTGAAGGGTGGCAGAATGGTAAGTCCAGCTCAGGCTTTATAAAAACAGGGCCCCTGCCTATATCTTGGCGATTCCTTCTGTTCCACCTTTTTCAGTCTCTGGCTTTGTCCTCCAGCTGGTTTCTCTCAAGGTCACAAGATGGCTTCTACCAGGGCTTCAGCTGCTTTGCCCACATCCAGAGGTTGAAAAATAAATCACCGTGCTTTGAGCTGCTTGGGCCACCCCTGAACCAATCACCATGGCCAGGTGATTAACATATGCTGATTGGCCTTGGGCTGCAGGTTTCAGAACTAATCACACTGGCAGGAGGATGAACAGGTAACTATAATTGGTTGAGTTCCATCAACCCATGTCCCAAGCCCCAGAGGAGCCAATCTCACCAATGCCCAGCTGCCACGCAGTGAGCGACGGGCATGAGCATGGGAAGTTCTCTGTGCACCACATTAGAACTGTCCGTGGTTGAAAAGGAGAAAAAGACCAACATGTATTGAGCCAGACTGTGTATTAGGCACCGAGTAAGGAGTCTTCATTATTTACTTTAATCCTCACAACAACTTTTGAGATAGGCACTGCCACCCTTATTTCACAAATAAGGAGATTTCAGCCCAGAGAGTTTGAATCATTTGCCTAAGGTCAGGCAGCTAAAATGCATCAGAGCCCATCTCACTGAATTCATATGTTGCTTGGCCCAACTTGCAAATGACCCTGCAGTCCCATCTAAGTTCAGCATGATAAATATAGTTTAGATTCTTTGCCCTTGAGGGTTTGGGAAGGGGTTGTTTTTATTTTGGCTTTTTGTCGTCGTTGTTGTTTAAAAGTCATGTGGAGTATTTAGTATATGTAGGTATATATATATAGTTAAGACTAACGTCAGAAGAGGAAGCAAAGATTTGTTTTGTTTATTCCACTCAAGCATCTTCTAGCAGTTGAAGTATGTGGTTTGTGTTATCAGATTCTGGCCGAGGACCAGATCACAGGAATGAATCATAGCTGATGTAATGTGTATCTCAGCAGAGCTATTATGTGGTACCAGGTGCACTGCACTTGATGCTATAACATCAGATACCTGCCCTTGTCCCAGGTGAGTAATTATGATGTCATGAGCTGGGTACTTGGATGCAATTCAAAGTGTTGAGGACAAATTATGAAAACCCGGGAAAGCAAACCTTGGGATTACAGAGAGGTCACCGGGTCTCCACCCACCTGCAGAGCTGCTGATATCAGCTCTCTGGGGAACCTGGTGACGAAAATCACGAGTCCAGGTTTGCACTTCTGCCCTGAAAGAAAAGAGGTTGTCAAGAGCTGTGGAGCCTCTGGGAGGGTGAGTCTGCCAGAAAATTTGTTCCTGGGGAACTTTATGGAAGGGGAATTCCCACATTCCCCTGCAAACTTTGGGCTTTCCTGCTCTGTTATCGGCATTTGAGATCGGATCAATAGTCCCTGATTGCAATTCTGGTTGAATTGAGTGTGTAGGTGGGCAGGTGGGAGGAGATGGCCGCCTGGGCAAATGCACAGACTTTCACAACCCAATGTGGGTGGTCGTGACGATCCAGGCTGGGCAGCAACCCTGTGCAGCAATACCAGGAAAATAGTCAGAGAGGGAAGGTTTCTGCGGCTTCAATCCTTTGTGCTCAGGAAGAGCTAAAGTTAGAACCTGCTGCCTATGAAAGAGACTCTTTCTTCAGAGATTACATGGAAGTTCTGTTGCTGGACTAATTCATTGTGCTGAGTCACCTGAAATGTTTAAATATCCTCAAACCACTTCATTTTTTGCCTTTACTCAAAATAACCGGTTACTTTCCAGGCAATGTGAAGTCTAGTACATGAAAGGTGTAGGTTAGGCCAATAAAAATGGAGGTGACACCCAGTTTAACAGTTTCTCAGAAGCAGTTTAAAAATGATACTTTTAAGCATACTAGGCTGAGGAAAGGTGATATTGTTTAAAACATAACAAAGCATCCATGCGTGAAGCGAGGTGGGAAAGACTGCCAAAATATTACTGCTTTAAAAAATTGCCTTCCGGGTGGCCAGGTCACTCGGTTGGTTAGAGCACATGCTCTGAGCAACACGGTTGCCAGTTCAATTCCCACGTGGGCCAGTGAGCTGCGCTCTCCACAACTAGATTGAAGACAATGACTTGAGCTGAGCTGCCACTGAGCTGCTGGTGGGAGTCTGGATGGCTCAGTTGGTTAGAGTGCACGCTCTTAACAACAAGGTTGCTGGTTCAACTCCCACATGGAATGGTGGGCTGAGGTCCCTGCAACTAGACTGAAAACAGCAACTGGACTTGTAGCTGAGCTGCACCCTCCACAACTAAGATTGAAGGACAACTTGACTTAGAGCTGATGGGTCCTGGAAAAAACACATTTTCCCCCAATAAAGTGTTTTTTTAAATTGTCATTTAAAAAACAAAAAAGTTGCCTTCCCTTCTAAGGAAAACTACCCAGGGAAGTTGTCCCAGGTTCATGTGCAGAGGCAGCCATATTTTCTGTCATGTGACCCTCAGCCCACAAACTGATTGGATCACAGGTGGCCACTCCACCACACCCCACACCCCTACCCCCGACGCCGTCACCCACTCTACACTCCTCTCCCCCCATAAGGTGATGAGAACCCTGTGAAACAGCTGGGGGTGGAGAGTTACACAATTTTCATTCAATATAAATATGTGGGTTCATTCGTTTGAAAAGCAGGAAGAAAATGCCATTAAATTTAATAAAATATAAAGCTATTTCCTTTTCTTTCTTCGTTTCTTTCTTTCTTTTTCTTTGTTTCTTTTCTTTCTTTCTTTCTTTCTTTTTTTTATGTAAAACAGTAATGTATTCCCTCATAGTCCTGGAGGTAAGAAGTTGGAAGTCAGGTTGTCAGGAGGACCATGCTCCTGCCTGAAGGCTCTAGGGGAGGAACTTTTCCATGCCTTTTTCTTGGCTTCTGGTGTTGCTGGCAATCCCTAGTATTCCATACAGATGCACCACTCCAATCTCTGCCTCCATTGTCTGTCATGTGGCATTCTCCCTCTAAAGCTTTTTCCTTTCTTTCTCAGTCTCTAGAGGGTTTTTATTTGCTATTTAATGCCATTTTAAGTAAGGGGAAAATAAAATTTACATTTTTCCCATGAATTTTATCATCCTTCTTTATATTGTGCAATTCCCGTAGAAAGGCAAGTGTAAGAGCATTGAATTCATATGCTGAATAGCCAGAATGACACAATTTGTATTTTGTAGCTCACTCATGCATATATATTTCTTTCATACCAGAACATTGACAACGTTGCAAAACATGAACTCAAGTGGTTTTATTCCACTTCTCGATACGCGCATATTATAACACCCTCTGTTTTCGGTTTACTGATGAGTAAGAAAGGACTGAAAGGGAAAAAACAGTTTCCCACTTATGTCCTTTCCTTCTTCGCCATCCTTCTCAGCATAAGTGGTTGGCTAATACAGAGAAATAACATGAGTAAGAAAGGGTTTGATAGGATTCCCTGGTCGTTTGTGTTTCTCACAAAGCCGTTGGCTTCGCCCTGCATTTGAAGCAAGTTCTGAAACTCATGGAAAGTATGGCCTTTTGGGCTCATCTCTGTGTCCCTGCCCTTGTCAGTAATAGATGTAGCAGGATTACCACTTACCTTTTACTCGTTTTGACTCTCTCAGAAGTCCCATGCACCATGCGTCCACGGGAATACTGAGCTCATGGGGCATCGCCAAGGGCATGTGTGAATGGGGACATGTGTGTTGTGTGTACCTCCTCTGCTCACAGATGTGGTCCCTTGTCCCACTGGGTTTCACTTACAAAACCCACGTTCAAAATTAATGTTGATCATTTTGAGTAGCAGAGCATTAAAACAAGCCCGGGGGGCCTCTGAGTGCAGGGTTCCTGTATGAACGCATAGCTCTTACACATTCACGACAGTGGCCCTGCTCCAAGGTGACAAGGATCAAATTAGCTTGGCCAATCAGATTCTCTCTGTTGGGAATTTAAACAGAGATGTAGCAATGACAGAAGCACAGGTCACAAAGTACCCAGAGAAGAAGCAGGGGGAAAAAATATCTGAGTCACAAAGGAAACACTGTCACAAACTTCTGAGCCCAGCTTATCCGGAATTTTCCTGAGTTTTTGATGACCTCCCATTTCCACGTCTGTGTGGTCTGAGCTCTACCACAGTTTCTGCATTTTGCTTGCAGTCGGGATATGTGGCTGAAATTTAACTTATTACCACACTTACCCTTGTACTGCATCCCTCATTACTCAGCATAATTGCCACCATTCTATGTTCCTTGCTGCTAGGAGCCTGAGACACAATTAAGGTGAATGGTTGCTAGTGGTACTATCATTTTAGAGCAAAAGGAGGAAAGATGACTGGAGTTTAGATAAATGAACCCCAAGAAAGAGCATGTGGGTATTCTTAGCACCTTCAGGTGAGAAAGTACCTGTTCAAATAGCAACCCACTTCTTAGGCAAATACAAATGAAGCAATGACAGTTTTTAGATTATCCAACTGGCATAACTATATAAACAAACACCAGGACGTTCTTCCTGAGTTATTCATAACAGCAAAAAATTGCAGGGGTTGGCCGAGTGGCTTGTTGGTTAAGAGTTGGCTTGGGAGCGTGAGCTCTGAGTAGCAGGGCCACTGGTTGGGATCCCACATGGGCCAGTGATGCTGCGCCCTCTACAGCTAAGATGGTGAACAACAGCTCAACCTGCAGCTGGGCTGCTGTGAGTCGCCAGCGATGGCGTAGGCTGCAGTGGGGCTGCAGTGGGCTCCCTTAAAGCTACCGTGAGTGGCCAGCAGCCAGTGTGACCAGCCAGTGGCGTGAGCTGCAGTGAGCCGCCATGAGCGGCTGTCCAATGGACGGCGACACATCTGCCTCATCCAGGAAGAGCGCAATGATCACAATACCAACATGGGCCAGTGAGGCGACGTCCTCCACAACTAGACTGAAGAACAAAAGGACAGCAACTTGTCTATTCCTCTTCTCCAATTCCCCTATGCTGTTCCCTCCCCCAATTCCCCAATAAACCTTAAAAAAAAAATTACAAACAACCTAAATGTCCAGTAATACAAGATTGGTAAGTAAATTACATCATTTGGATTGGATGGTTTTTTTTTTCAGGCAGTAAAAATTCTGTTTTTAAAGGAATATTTAGCAGTGTACATGTCAAGATGACCATAACAATGTTGCCGATTATGTTCTGAAAGTACAAATATTTATTTACTTATTTATATAAATAGAACAAAGACAAGCTATTTACAAGCTATTTATCTCTGGACTAGAGGATTAAGATTTTTTTTCCCTATTTTTCATTTTATAATTTTCATTTTTAATGTATTTTAAGCTTTATAAAATAAAAATACTAATAAATTTCTCCAAAAATCCATTAAGTTCCCATCAGTATAATTCCATACTCAATAAATAACTTTATAATCATAATTTGACCTCTTGTGCAGTGAAGTATGATGATTAAGAGGCTGCATTTCTGAAGTCAAACAGCTCTTGGCTCAAATTACAGGTCTGCAGCTTCCTAGTTATTTGACCTTGTGCAAGAAACCTCCATCAGCATGTTTCCTTATCAGTAAGATGAGGTTCTCAATAAATGATCACGTTCAGTGTTGTTATAAGGATCACATGAGATGATAAATTCCCTTCAGGCAGGGTTTATTGTCCATTCTGTTCATTTTATATTGAAATGACTAGGAAAGTGGCTGGCACATAGTAGCTGTTCAATAAATATTAAGTTAGTGACTGGGCATGTGCAAACACCCATGCACATATGTGCACACACAAACAAATGACAATGGAAATTATAACAAAAATCAGGCCGATATCATTTTATTTTTCTCTGTCTTTTTGCTGATTTTTTGCTTGCGATATGTACAAATGAGTATCAGCTTTTAAAATCTTCAACTTCCTTTTGTTAAAAAATCTTATGTTTCATCACAATGGGTAGGAATTCACATGTTTTGCCTTTAGGCATTAATTACATTGAACACCTAAGTTGACATCATAACTGATAAACCTCCATTTTACCATTTTTAAATTAAATGTGTTTATTTAATATTAATAAGTAACCAATTTACTGGGATCAAAACTTTAAATAATTTTAAAATGCAATAGAGACAAAATCCTCCTCTCCTCCCCTGTTGCCTTCCCCCTGAACCCCACCTCTCTCTCCAAACAGATAACCACTGTTATTGATCCCTTCAGTACTTTCCTCAGGTTTTTAAATATATATCTATAGTTGATTAAGTTGTGGCCCCAAAATACATACCTGTGAATGTGATCTTAATTGGAAAAATAATTTGCAATAAAATTAGGTTAAGGACCTCAAGATGAGATCATCCTGAATTTACAGGGTGCCCTAGGTCCAAAGACAGATGTGTTTTTAAAAGAAGAAAAAGTCAGGGGAAGATTTGAAACAGAGAGACACGAAGACAATGGCCATGTGAAGACACTAGAGTGACACAGCTACAAGCCAAGGAATGCCCAAAGCCACCAGACGCTGAGAGAGAGAGGCAGGAAGAACCTTCTCCAGAGTCTGCAGAGGGAGCACTGCCCTGCCGACCCCTTGATTTTGGACTTCTGACATCCAGAATTGTAAAATAATTAATTTCTCTTGTCTACAAGCCACCTAGTTTTCGGTCATTGGTTACAGCAGCCCTAGGAAACTAATAGCATCTACGCAACATAAGAAAATTTGCTGACTTTCGTTCACTGTTTAACAGGTGTTCTTAGAGTTTTGATGGTTATCTACACTGCTGTCAGAAAAGTCAAAATCCTGAATAGTTTTTAAACCATAGGAGCGTTGCAAGAAAAATATTTTCGACGCTTTGATAATACCGGGGCTTAATTAGAGTTTCTTGAATTGCAGCCTCAGGGAATTTCAAAACACATAATTTAGCCTTCCTCTACCATACGAAATATTCTATTAGAGCAAACAAGGTCAGGGCTATGATATGCAGTTCCTCTTACCCAGAAAGTAGAAGGAGTAATTCGTACTTTCAGAGAGTGGGAGAGGAAATTTGCCTAAGCCGCCAATTTTAATTCCTGTGTTTTCTAATTTTTAACACTGAAGCCAAGCTCTAGTTCATGCTAAAAACAAATGTGTGTTGCTAGGAGCCAAAGGTATAAAATTGCGAGTCTCATGACTAGTGAACCCTTTCATCGCTGGATAGCGGGAATGGGGAGGAAGGGAGAAACAGAGTGTTTGGGGGCAGCCAGAGAAGTGAGGAGCCCCAGGGAGTGGGGTGAGGGGAGCTTGGGAGGGCAGCTATTCGCAAACTGGTACTGAAGTACTTCACCATTTTACAACCAGCACTGCCTTCCAGTGCTGATCTGGATTCGGCTCCAGTGATATTAGTATTAACGACGGTCTTTTCAAATACTTCCCCGCACATCGTCCTGTCTGATTGTGCAATACGACTCTGAGACACTGCCTATCCCCATTTCACAGATGCGGCCACCATAAGATCTAGGATTTGTGTAAACTGACTCCACCAGGGTGACTCCAATAAGAAGGTCCTGAACCCATATTTGGGGATTTCAAATTCAGCCCTCTTTTCATTCAACAACAGCTGCTTCTGAAATGACAATACGTCTTCCCAGCATGGGCAAATGACCAAGCTGGTTCCATTTCAGACGAGAGAACCAAAGAAAGCCACACGAGAGCCGGAGAAGAACCAAGGGCAAGTTGAAGTTGAGGGCACCGTTGGAGTTGTCGTGAGCACCAGCTTTTCAAAGGGAGAACTCTCAAGGCTGTGTTAGGGATGAGACCCAGAAATCTGACGGGGTGAGTAAGGCAAGCATACAGCACTCCTCAGCGAATTACCTGACAGAGCTCAATGTCAGTGTAAAGACAGCGTGTCTATTTTACCCGGTAAATAGCAGGGAGTGATAATCCTAAATGTCCAAGAATTTCAAAGGGGATTTATACCAATGTGTGAATGGCATCCGTAAGAGATTATATTATAGGGGATGGGATTGAGAAGGGCGCATTTTTGCATTTGAAACGGACATCAAAGAACATAGTTTACCCCTTTGGGGGACCCCTGTGACTCCCCAGAGGCAAGTCTTGTGTATGCTGATGAGGGGCTCTCTGAAGGTCAGGTCTGCAGACCGGAGCTCTTGTATAAGACACGCCAGTGCCATGACTGAGTTTTGCATCTCTTTCTATGTATTATATTTGCAGGCAGAAGAAATGAAATGTCTCCCTCTTTCTAGAACTCTGGTGGGCCCAGCAATTGCCAAAACTGAGGTATGATGTGTGCTGTGTGTGCACTTCCTGCATGCTGCATTTGCATATTTTATTCCTGTTTTCAGGCTGAATAATGGATTCAGGTTCTGAGCAGTAGAAACGCTACATAAATGATTAGCCAGGCTGTGCTCAGGTGAACCTTGGCCCACTTTTGCTGCTGTTGCTCTTTGAGAATGAACCCAAGGCACAAGTCTCTGAGCACTGAGACCCGGGCTTTCGGAGGGGTTGAGGAAAGGCTAGTCTAAACTACAGGGTGTTTTTCCTGATGGCCAAGCGCTGCATTGTCTGTGGAATTTAAACAGCATAGGAGGCAGGCATTGCCCTACTAAACCTGAGTATGAGTTGAAGCCTGCTGTGTGCTGGGAAGAACTGCCCATCGGTGTCACAGGACACTAAGGGTTTGAATGACCTCAGTGGGGCACATGGCCACCTGGGAGATGTAATCGTGACAGTTAGTTAGGAACATTTTTTTTTAGGACTCCAGGACCAACACTCAGCAGGTGCCCAAGTATCAAAACATTATGACAAATTTCTTTTTGAACCAAGTATTAATGACCTACCTTGTGTTCTGTTTCATGTTGAGGACTGGAGAGATAAAAAGAGCCTCCACCTGAAAAAAAGAAAAAAAGAAAAGTAAATTAACTACATGTTATGAAAGTGAATAAGAAAATTAAAGACGTTGTCAGGCCCAAAATCAACATGAAAAAAGTCAATGGTGGAAATGATATTTAATCCAGGATTTGCTTCAAAATAATTGAGCAGGGAGGGGGAATTATGTGGGGTAGAGAGAAAGAGAGACTAGTCATGAGTTAATAATAATTGTAGAAGTTTGGGTTTGGGTACATAAGGGTCCCTTATTCTCTCAAGTTGTATATACTTTTGAAACTTTCCACTATAAAAAAGTTTTTTGAAAAAAGCACCTCATTTACATTAATAAAAACTATCAAACACATTAAATTAAACCTTCCAAGAAATGTGCAATACCTATATAAAGAAATCTCTTACACCTAACTGAAAAGCCTAAAGACCCAAATAGGCAAACAGACTGATCCTGGATAGCAAGTTTTGTTTTCGTAATGACATCAATTTTCACCCAAATTAATCCAAAAATTCAATGCAGTGCTAATCAAAATTCCAGCAGGAATTTATTAGAACTTGATTCTCAAGTTTCTATGGAAAAGGAAATATGCAAGAATAGTGAAATTAAAAAATACATATAAATAAGAGAATGAAATTATCTTACCAAGTATCAAAACACATTACAAAGCTATAATTGAAATTGTGTGATGTTGGCGTAAGCCAGGACATGTATTAATAGAACAAAATAGAGAATTCAGAAACAGACGTATGTATTTATGGGAATCTAGTTTAACACAGAGATAGCATTTCAAATCCTTCCCTTCCTGATTTGGGACAAATTCAGTTTTTCATGTGGAAAAATGTATTTGTGAATATTCATTTGTATGTCAATATATTTGTATATTGACATGTCTGTGCAGCCTATTTCTATAATTATGTAGCCATACAAAATTATGCATTTATTTTAAATACCTATTATATATTTTTATACATTTGCCTTTGAACAATGGTTAATTAATATTTCTTTAAGAATTCCATGTAGATAAATTTTATGAAGACTAAAGGTAAACAAAATGTTTCCACGTGTATGGCACACACAGTCTACATGTACAAATGTAGGCTATGTTTAATGTATATACATGAACATATATGCTTATATCTGTAAACATCCATGTATGCATGTATATGCATTGTGTACATATGTATGTATAGTAGCCTCCCCATATCTGTGGGGATACGTTCCAGGACCCCCAGTGGATGCCTGAAACCTCTGCTAGCACTGAACCTATATATACTGCTTTTTCCTATACATACATACCTATGATAAGTTTAATTTATAAATTTGACACAGTAAGAGATTAACAACAGTAACTAATTATAAAACAGAACAATTATAATAATATGCAGTAATAAAAGTTATGTGCAAGTGGTCTCTCTCTCTCTTTCTGATAACCCAGATGGCCACTAAGTGACTACTGGGCCGGGAATGTCTACAGCATAAATATGATGGACCAAGGGCTGATTCACATCCCAGGCAGGATGGAGACGCACGACGGCTGGAGGTTTCATCACGCTACTCAGAAGCGCACGGTTTAAAACTTAGGAATTGTTTATTCCTGGCATTTTTCATTTAATATTTTCAGACCACGGTTGACCACAGGTAACTGAAACTGCAGAAAGTGAGACCTCAGATAAGGGTGGACTACTGTATATACTTGTATGTATGTACACCAGCATGAAGAAAGCTGTGGAGACCCAGAGAGGTGCAGTGGGGGAGGTAGAGGAAGGCTTCCCCCAGCGGGAGACCTTGCAGGCAGGAGGAGAGTGTTCCACCCCAGTCGCAACCCTGAGAGCCAGGCAGAGAGGCCTGAAGGCTTCCCGTGGTGGAGATGTAGTAACAGCACAGTGTGATGGCAGAAAGAGGTCTCTGGCAGGAGGGGCCAGCAGTGAGGGTGGAAATAAACGGTAGCGCAAAATCATGACTGTCAACAGTATAAGACTCATCCTAGAAGGATCCAAGATGGTGGAGTAGATAGACGCTCTGCCCGCTTTCTTCCATGAACGCGTTAAAATTACAACTAAATTGTAGAACAATCTACCCGGAGAATCACCTGAAGTCTGGCTGAACAGAAGTTTTGTAACTCAGGATATAAAGAAGCAGCCATGTCGACACTGGTAGGAGGGGTGGAGACGCAAACAGGGCTGGCCCCAAACCTCCGTGTGGCATTGAGAATCGGGAAGGCTATCTAGACCATAGAGGTTCCCCCGACAGGAGCGAGGGCCCCCAGCTCCATACCAGGTTCCCCAGCCCAGAGTACTGGTGCTGGGAAGAGGAGCCCCCACAACATCTGGCTGTGGAAAACAGTGGGGATTCCAACCATTCAGATGAGACAGAAGGCTGCGGGAAACCCAGACATCCTATTAAACAGCCCGCGCACAGACTCACTCACTCGTAGACACTCACCTTGGGCTCCGGCAGAGGGACAGTGACTTGGGGGTGTCAGAGGCATGTTGTGGCAGACTGAGATGTATGGCCTCAAGGCCAGGGCTGAGAACAGTCGCCATTTTCTCTGTGTGGGATCCTCTTCCCACGGAGCTGGCAGGTAAGCGCCATCCTTTCCGTGTTGAGCCCGCCCCCACAGGTCAAATCTGAATCTGATTGGTCTGGTGAGCTCTGCTGCTCCACCATGCTGACTCACTGTAATTTTGCTTATATGTGGAATCTAAAGAACAAATCTGTTATGCCACCAACTGTCATCACAAGGCACCTGTCTTAGTGAGCTCATGACAAAGTACTACAGACTAGGCAGCTTCAACAGCTGGCAGTTATTTCCTCCATCCTGGAGGCTGAAAGTCCAAGATCAAGGCGGCAGCAGGGTTGGTTTCTGGTGAGACTCGTCTCTTTGGCCTGCAGGTGGCACTGTCTCACTATGTCCTCACATGGTCTGTCCTCTGTGCACGTGCACTCCTGGTGTCTCTTTGAGGGTCCTAATCTCTTCTTCTTACGAGGACACCAGTCAGATCAGATTGGGGCCCAGCCTAATCACCTCATTTTATCTTATCACCTCCTTAGAAGCCCTACCTCTAGGTACAATCACAGTCTGAGGTACTGGAAAACATAACTCAGCCCTAACAGCCTCTTAGTGGCAGAAGACAAATTCAGCAGAAGGCGGGCTTGTCCCCTTGGCCCTGCAGGGACTAGCTGCCCACAAGTCCCGTCTGATCAGGAGTTGGTAACATTTAGGTGCTACTGCAGGATGTGTATTGTTTACATTCCTGCTGTCCACCTCTACCTGACGGCAGATGGATGGAAAGAGAAGCTCCAATGACTCGCATCTCACTCGGGGAACAAAGAACGTGCTTTTATTTCCCTAAAGTCCAAACAAGAACACTGGCATCTCACCCTTGTTGAGTGCTTCCTGTGTGCCAGGCATGGGCCCCTGATGTACCATCTCATTCCAGGCTCACATCAGCCAACATGCCATGGATCTACCATCATGATCTTTGTTTCTAAGATGCACACCAGGTTTGGCGTGGTGGCATGGCCCGCTGAAGGTCACCCAGCTGGGAAATGGCCCTTGACTGGGCCCATCAAACTCCAGAGCTTATGTCTTTCATTCCCACACTACGCTGCTTCTCCTCAAGTTCTTTCTACTACGCTTTTGCTTAGAATCATTCCTAGTTGTTGTAGAACTAAAAGTTCTTGAAGAAATCTCAGGTCAAGGGAGTGATTTTCTGGCTAAGTTTTCAAGGAGCTTCTTAACCCTGTGGCTCTGAAAGCCCTTGACAGTGTCACAGACATGATGGTTGGCAGCAGCCCAGTTTGGACATTCTCCTTATAGAAAGAACATTTCTAGTTTTCTCAGGCAGCCCCAACAAAGAGATAGAAAAGGAGAGGAGAGATGATTGGGCCAGAGGTGGCACAGAAGACATGGCAATGGCCGGTGAAGGGTGTTTTGATTCCCATCTCCTAGCAACACCCAGGGTGGGTTCCAGGGACTGAGCGGGGCTGAGTAAGTGGCGTGGTCCAGGGCTTGCTGAAGCAGTCCATGCCTAGTGGTTCCAGAACAGATGCTGGGGAAGGGGGGATTCTGGGGAAGGGGCCGGGGGGAGAGTAAAGAAGTCTCCCTGGGCATCGTGCTTGACCAACAGGAGAGCAGCGCATCAAGTCAACACAAAGACCTACATCTTTGTCCACCACCAGCCAAGCTGCCAGTCACTCTCAGTGACAGAATTTCACTGCTTGGTGGAAGATGGGTGGTTCACCACCTTCATATAAGAAACATCAGTGTCGTTCTATGATGAGTCCTTTCCGCATTCCACTTGGAAAAAGAGGCATGCAAGCAGTATATTCCAAAGAGATTAATCACCTGGAGAAGTTGTTTTTTAAAAAACAATAAAAATTACACAGAAATCAGTGCTGCCTATGATACTGGGTCTTGTAATATAATGGTATGTACAGGGTTTTAGCTGAGGGGAATGCGTTCCTTAATTGCAAGTCTGGGATCCACAGAGGTGGACGTGCAGACAGCCTACAAGCGGACATGCTGAGGAAATGTGAGGTTAAACACAGTTATTTTGTGAGTATACGCTTCTTGTTTCCAGGGTGCAATACGATTAAAATCATCAGGGATCTCTGGAAATCATCTCCGAGTTGAAAATATTTGGGTATTGCAGAAAGTTGAATGAATTCACTGAGGGGAAAATTACCTTACTTTTCATAGATTGTCCAACGGGCGCAAGTACACTCAAATAAAATAAATCTTTCAGCGGCTGCCACAAGAAGTCATAAAAAAATACTGGCACCATCATGACAGAAATGTTAGTATTTAATGGCAAAAAAATATGAATTGGAATGAATAATCCTTATTGCTTAACAGATAGTTCATCCCCTACTGACATCATTTATGGGTGTTTTCTCAACTTTGTGGATTGGCCACGGCCAACTCCCCCTGAGGACTTTCCCTGGCCATCCTGCACAGGTGTGGTCAAGCACAAGTTCGGTTTCTAGGGGGCCGATGGGCACAGCTGAGAGGGCGAGAAGGCAGGCACCACCACTCCCCAATCTACGCAGCAGCTGCGGGAGTCGAGGGCAGGGATGCAACTCCAGGGCCAAGGTAAATCACTTTGAACTCATCTCTAGTTACATAACGACATCTTTCCAAATGGAATGGGTGACTCACACATGCAATAGATGCTATTATGTGTATAAACAGCAGTTATCTTGAATTTCAAATATTCTAATAGGACAAAAATGGAGGTATTTTTCTTGCTATTCATTCAAATATATTCTAGTCCTTTTGTGTGATAATTAATACCTTACCCACCTTGTGTCGGCTCATTCTGCTTCTTGGAGTGTTTTCTTTTCCCTCCTTCTCAAAGGACCCAATCAGAGCCTGGAGTTGTAGGCAGCTGGAGGGAGAAGAGGCTGTAGAGATAGGAAGCAAGTAGAAACCAGTGTCTTCTTTCCAAGTGACAGTCCACCCTAACTTCTGGGTCTCTAGCCATCGACACAGGACCTGGTGACGCAGAGACCACATATCCCATATCCCACATCACATTTGTCCTTGTACCATATTTGGTACCTCGTCACTAATGTTTGAAAGTTTGAGACTAGAAGGTGAATAATAATTAACCAAGACTAAATGTTTGGAGTGTCCCTCATTGAAACAGCTCAGGTGGAGCCCATAACAGTGGTTACCAGGAGAAGGCGCCCCCAGTGAAGAGAGCAGTGGACGCTCACACAGGCAAAGTGGGGATGGAGTAGGGAGCCTGGACACCACCACTGTAGACAGGCTATAACCAAACTGTGTGTTCCACATCTGCTTTTTAGCTGGATAATAAGCTCTAACATCTGCAATGTGTTGACCAGAAGCTCGCTACAGACCTATTATTTATTAATTATTTTAATGAGTGATGTTATAATAACATTATAATATTACTAATTGTCTCCATATCACAAATGAGGCAAAAAAGAATGAGAAGGTTTGGGAAGTTGCTGGCAGTCACTTAGGTAATTAGAGGAAAAGCTGGACAGCATACTCAGCTTTTGTCCACCGTGCACACAGGTGGCTGAGCTCACTCGCTAGAAAATACCGTCCCAGAGAGCGGGTCATAGCCATCATTTTCACTGCTGTATCCTCCCTACACTTAGTAGGTGCTCAGCAAACAATACTGAGCAAATTGCAATCTGTATAAAAGGTTTGCATAGAGCCACAGCCAAGAAAACAGCAGTAAAAGGAATTCAGGTCTTCAGTGACTCCAAAATGCCAAAGGGGAAATAGACAAACGCTGAGAGCTAACTGTCTTTAATGGCGTCTTTCCCTTTCCCCTTCACTCTGTATTTCACTTCACAACTGACAACTGCTTCCTATAACGCTGTGCTCTCTCCAGAGAAGCCCCTTGAAAAGCTTTCTCTGAAGCCCAGCTGGCATGACTCTTGAATTTCTCTTCTCCCTGCTATTCTCCCAGAACTTGTAGATTCTCTTCAGGCTAATTAGATCCACTTTATCTTTCAAAATCTTGACTATTTTTCTCTACGCTCCAGGTTGTGACTACACACACACACACACACACACACACACACACACACACACACACATGCACACGCACAGGCACATGTACAGTAGGCAAGTTGGAAAGAAATGGTAGGTTCAGTAGAATTTTCCTATGCAGAATGGCGGGGGGGTCATCACATGGTGTACCCTGACACAATGACAGTATTTTGTCCCAGGTCAACCCACCCCCCCTTGGCTTTTCACCCCAAAGAACAGCTTCAGAGAGTCTCAGCCTGAAGAAACTATTTTAGGGAGTTAGGTATGCCCATTGCTCTATTTACTTTTGTTCAAGTTTTGTTTTCTAGAAAGGTTTCGTTTTTGTTTGTTGTTTTGGTTGCATAAAAGATGTCTGTTTCTATCCTAATTTTGGCAGTCTTATATTTGCCTGTTGTAGTGTAATCTACATTTATGAAATGTAGCTCTCAGTGTTTTCCTTTTAAATTGTCTCTTTACTGTCCTGGTTTTATCTTGATCGTGTTTATCATTGTTACAGGTTGAATTGTGTCCCTCCCCAAAATTCATGTGTTGAAGTCCTAACCCCCCATATGTCAGAATGTGATTATATTATCTGGAAATAGGGTCATTGTAGATATAATTAGTTAGGGTGAGGCCATACTGGAGTAGGGTGAGCCCTAATCCAATAAGACAGGTGTCCTTATGAAAAGGGGAAATTTTGACACAGACACACACAGCTTTCTGTGAAGATGCCATGTGGTATGAAGGCAGGAATTTACAAACCAAGGAACCCAAAGATGGCCAGCAACACAAGAAGCTGGGAGAGAGGCCTGGAACGGATCCTCCCTCACAGACTCAGAAGGGACCAGCCCTGCTGACACCTGCACCTCGGACTTCCAGCCTCCAGAACTGTGAGACCATACATTTCTGTTCATTGCCCCCCCAGCCTGTGGTACTTTGTCACGGCGGCCCTAGGACTAATACAATCACTGAAAAATATAAAATATTAACTTGGTTTTACCCTTACCCGTGGTCTTGTCATTATTACATCACTTTTATGTCTTCAAGTCTGATTTTATTTATCTGAGTATTTGAATCTTTTGTTATTTTAAACTTGATTTCTCATGCTCTCTTTATTTCCTTTTATTCTTTGGGATACAAATCACCTTTTGCCTCTAGTCTTCTCCGTTATGTCCCAGGTTGGTTTTACTGACTTTTGTCGCTGTCATGATCATGATTTCTTCTCATGTGGCAGTTTGTACAACGGAGCTCAAGAGCTGTGGCCGACGTGGTGTGCGCCCCACAGGCACCCAGGCTGCTCGGTACTTTTTTCCTTTCTCTCTGCTCTGCAATTCTCCTTAATAGATCTTCCTTCTCCTCCCATGCTGACTCGTATTTGTCTTCCAACTCTCAAGCCAAAAAATTCCCCCGAGATCAATTACGATTCTCCGTGCACAGATTAAATATTTGATTATTGGAACACGTGGTAGTTTGTTTTGTTTTATTTTGTTTGCGTCGTATACCATCAAGTCCCTTTTGGAGAAAGAGTCACTTGGTGGACATGCAACCCATGCAGTCACACAGGGCCCCACACTTAGATGGCTGTGTTAGGTTAATACTGTGCTCTAGGCCTTTCTAATTATGTAGCTAGATCTGTCCAGAGAGGAGCATTTTCTAAAACCCATCCTCTCGTGTCTTTAACCCCTGGGAGCTGAGACAGTTGCACACACTTTGTGTTTCATGATGGCAGGTCCACCAGGAAGGGACCGGCCCGGTGAGGCGTGGGCAGAGTGTTGCTGAATCTCCCTCTTGGTTTTCATGGGAGAAAGCCCATTAGAGGCTCTGTTGTCAGTCTCTTTGAAAGCGTTTCTAGGCAGCCTGCCTCAAAAGTGGTGTGTTTCTAGTAGGAATGAACTCATCAATGTGCAAAAAATATGTTTGTTTGTTTTTTTAATTTCCAATGCCTGAAAGAGATGATTGAACAACAAGGAATTCTACAGGAGGTTGATGGGCTGCCAGATGCTATTTCAGCTCTTAGTGGGGACTTGAAAAGATCCAGTAGGTCTTTAGATGTGGTAAAGCTCAGGACCTCAGTCCCCGAGGCAGCCCCATCCCCTGCGGACCCCACTCTGCCGTGCCTCTCCCCCCACTTCTGCCCAGAGACCCGCTCTCGGCCCCGACCTCCAGTCTGAAATCCACCTTGGCTTATCTCCTGCCTTAAGTCCTTCCCAGGACTGAGGCCCATCTTGACCCTCTGTTTAGATCCCTCCCTCCCTGCTCAGCCTTTCCACGCCTACCCTTTGTGCCTCAGCCACAGCAGGACAGGTCCCCAGAAACACAGCATCACCCACTTCCTTCTCAGTGGCTTCCTCAAAGAATTGCTCATTGCTCTGCAAGGGCTGTCAGAGCAGCTTCCCACTGGCCTTCCTGCCAGGACTTCTCATCACTGAACAAAGCCAGCCTCACCCTGAGCGGGGCGTAACCCCTGACACGCATTCCCAGCATGCCCCAGCAGGTTCTCCTTGGAAAGCAAAGCAGAACAGAACAGAACTCATCAATATGCAAGAATGTGTCTTCATAGTTTCCAAAGCCTGAAAGGAATTTTTTTT